AAAGAGGATCGTAGTGCAGAGTTTAGACTCTCAGTGCAACCCTCCTCTTGCCCCCAAATGGAGAATTACCTTAGTGGCTTCCCTCCTGCTTCCTCTATAAAACAAGCTGCTGAGACCCCAAGTGACAAGCTTCCATGCTGTGATGTGATTGCTGCTTGCCTACATAAATTTTTCACTCCTTGTCCCTCCCTGCAGCATCTTTCCAATGCTCAGGACACAAATAAGCTCTGAAAGAACCAAAGGCACTGGCTGGTTTCACTGACATGGGTTTGCAGGTACTGAATGCTCCCTTAAAAAAATGAAAACGAAGGCACTTTTCTCCTGGCTGTTTATTACAGAAGGAAGGAACAAAAACAACGTTTTTGGCTTGAAAGAGATGCCAGTTTTCAAACGAAGAGGCAAAATATGAGGTGGCAATTAAAATGTGATTACATAGAGTCTGAACACTGAGAAAAGTTTACAGGACAGTGGGCGTGGGATCTCTGTAACAGACACTGAAATATACATGATGATAATTGCAGATAGAAACCATCAAAGACAAACCAAAAATCAAGTATTAATGTTTACAGACTCCCCCCCAAAACCACAAAGCCTTACATCAAAACAAGTACTGAAAGGCTTTAAATCAGGAACATCTCACCTTCACCCTACAAGGATGTCTCTGGAGAGATGCAAAGCTAAGATTCTCTTGACTGAATGATAAAGAGCGGACACTATAGATCCTCAAGGCTGACAGCTCAGACAGAGTTCAACTTTCATTCTCTCTCTTCACATTTCCCAAATCTACAGAACTCTTTCAGCCTCCTTGAAAACTTCCTCTGTAGGGTACTTACTATAAAAGCAGCTTCTGCTGTAATGTGCTTATGAGGAAAGAGCTAGCAGAGAAGAACAGGTTTGCAAAAAGAGATCAAGAATTATATCAGGCGATCAAAGTTTCCAGGAAAATGGCAATAAATGGCCAAGTGGTTTTCTATGTGGCATTTGTTAGCTTGCACAACACCTCTTGGTCACATCCACAGCATTTGTTGCATCAAAACTGTAAGCAACTCAGACACCTGGCTTATTAGAGATCATTGGAGCGAACAACACAGTCTGCATATTTGCAACAATGTATAATAAACACAAACAATGCATAATCAACACAATTGTACTGAAACGAAAGCCGTCACTTTATTTACAAAGTCACAAAAGGAAGTATAAATACTTCTGTCATTAATGTTTAGGAAAAGCATTTACAAAATTTTCAAATATGTACAGATATTTTGAAAAATCACCAGCTTTCCATTTTGTTATAGGTAGAGAGACAGATGGGCATGGGTTGATGCCACTCAGATTGTAATGAGGAAACACTTGTGTGGCTGTCTGGGCCAGTGGTGAACTTGCTATGGATTCACACCACTCCCTAAAGTGATGTCAACTTTGGGGACGTCATCCTGACTACTCTGCGTGACTTGGCCAGCATTCTGGGCTGCGGCATTTTGGGCAGCAGCATGCTGCTCTTCCAAAATGTCATCGATCAGCCTCAGGTTACACACCCAGGATTCATCTGGGCTTGTGCTTGGGCCTTTCAAGAGAGCTTCAATGAAATCCATATCATTGCAGTCAGGTGGTGAAATCAGATCATTTAATGGGGGTTGGGACTGGGGCAAAAAGTCATAGGGTGGCAGCTCAGTAAGGGGACCCATTCTGTTGAATGGACCTGGAGACTGGCTAGCAGTGATGGCAGAGGTGGTGGCGGCAGCGGCAGCAGCAGCCACATAGCTTGGCGGTGGCTCAATGGCCTGTATGGGACTCACGGGACCAAAGCTATCTATGCCCTGCTGGAGGGACTTGGTGGCGTTCAGCACAGGCACAGGTCCCCGCTCTGGACTCTGTCTGAGGCTGAAGTTAGGGTTGTTCAGGGCAGCATTGACCTTCTGGCCAGGCCTGTCTCCTGGGGTCCCCTGATTGGGAGGCACAACTGCCTGCTGCGATGGACAGGCTGGGGCTATTGGGGAGAAGCTCACAGGTGCCTTTGCGAAGATAGAGTTGCTATTAAATTGCTGCTGGGTGCTATTATCTACTTGGCTGGGGGGTGGTTCCCTAGAGACCGCTGGGTTTGCAGTTGCTGCTGCCACCCATGTGACATTGTTGAAAAAGGTGGACATTCTTGGCACACATGGCTGTCTGAGCTGGCTGCCCAGGGGGCTGGGACAGAACCTGGACAGGAGCACTCCTGAGGGGGAGGCCTTGGGCATCTGTGTATATTGGCAAACAGAGCCAAGGCTGCCCAGGGGTTTCTGGCCTGGGCATGAGGATATGGGAAACAGGGGGCTGGAGTTAAGAATTCCTTGCTTTTTGCCTGGGGTTGGTGAGATCATGCCCCCATGGCTCTGGTGCCGGCTGGGTGGGATCATTCCTGGACTCAGATTGTTCTGAAGGAGCTCAGCTCTGGGTAGCATCGTGTGGTGGCTGGAAGGGGGGCTGGCCTTGGTCCGGCTACACTTGGAGGTGACTTGTTCTTGGACGGCTACAGAAAGAGAAGGAGATCAATTCCAAAGGTATCCTCAATTTTGCTGCAGTTGCTGGTGGGGCATATCAGCCTAGCTCTGATTTCTCACCTTCCACCCTTGGCTCCGACTGAGCATCCTCTGTTTCCCAACTCTTTTCCCCTTGTTCCTCCATCCTCAGTCTGGACTGCAGTTCTTCTAGGGAACCCTTTTAGATTCCTGGGTCTGTGCTCACAAATCTTTGCTCCCCACCAAGTACAGATAATGTTGGATGAAAAATGCCAGCTTATCTGTCTGTCTTTTCAGATAGACTATAAGCTCTACTAGAGGCCCGGTGCATAAAACTTATGCACGGGGGGTGGTGTCCCTCAGCCAAGCCTGCACCCTATCCAATCTGGGACATCCCATTCACAATCCAAGACTGCTGGATTCCAACTGCTTGCCTGCCTGCCTTCCTGATTGTCCCTAACCTCAACTGCCTGCCAGCCTGACCACCCCCTAACCACTCCCCTGCCAGCCTGACTGATGCCTAACTGCTCCCCTGCTAGCCTGATTTCCCCTAACTGCCCTCCCCAGCAGGCCTGGTCACCCCTAACTGCCCTCCCTTCAAGCCTCCCCCCCCACCCCCAACTGCCATCCCCTGCAGGCCTGGGTTCCTCCCAATTACTCTTCCCTGCAGGCCTGGTCGCCCCCAAATTCTCTACTTTACCAGCCTGGTCATCCCTAATTGCCCTCCCCTGTAGGCTTGATTGCCCCCAACTGCTCTCTCTTGTGGGCCTGGTCCCTCCCAACTGCTCTCCTCTGCTGGCCTGATCACCCACAACTGCCCTCCTTTGCAGGCCTGGTCCCTCCCAACTGCCCTCCTCTACTGGCCATCTTGTGGTGACGATCTTGTGTTTACATGGGGGCAGGATCTTTGACACATGGGGGCAGCCATCTTGTGTGTTGGAGTGATGGTCAATCTGCATATCACTCTTTTATTAGATAGGATAGACTCACTGAGTCTATCTGATAGATGCCTGGTGCATGAGTGGGAGTCAGCTGGTTTGCCCTGAAGGGTATCCCAGATCAGGGTGTGGGTTCCCTTGGGGTGTGGGGCAGCTTGGGCTTGGGGTCTGTGGTGGTTTGCAGGCCAGCCATGCCCCCCAGCTACCCAAGCAGAGGCCCTGGTATCTGGGGTTTATCTTCTACAATTGAAACTTTGTAACCTGGAGTGGAGCCAAGCCTTCTGCTTGCTCCGTGATGGCGGCCATTTCTCTTGAGATTTATGTATCTTCTATAATTGAAACTTTGTAGCCTTAAGCAGAGGCCTAGTTGCAAGGGAAGGGGAAAGCTTGGCTTCCTCCATTGCCAGGGAAACCCAGCCTCCTTCCTGCTTTCTGTGGCCATAGCCATCTTGGTTGGGTTTATTTGCATATTTGTTCCTGATTGGCTGGTGGGCATGGCTTGTGGATGTAGTGGAATGATGGTCAATTTGCATATTACTCTTTTATTAGATAGGATGAGGCCAGGGTCTTGGTCTGTTTTCATACTCAATACTCTGTAAGCAGGCTTGGTATTGTCCATCCTTGGACAGATGACATGGCCTTCCTGGAACTTGTCTTCCCTGTCATTATAGTTGGTGTGCTTGACCTAGGCAGGTGCAATATTCAGCTGGTGTTTAGGCCTCCAAAACAGGGTTTTCTGCATGAGAATGGAGGAGCAATAGCATGATGGTAGCACTAGTTAAAATGAAAATGTTGACTACCTGTTGGAGGGTAAGCAGCTTTCACTGAGCACTCGGTGAGAGTATGCTTGATCTTGCACAATGTCACTATTGGCTGGTAAAAATTGCTTACCACATGTCTCCCTGACTAGTCTGGAAGCTAGGAGAAGTAAGGACAATGCCTGTGTTTTCCCCCCCCTTTCAAACAGCTATATCTCTGACCAATAAAAGTTGATTGCATTCACAGTTGCCATGATAAAATGGGACCCCTGCTGTCTGTGGAGGCTCTGGCAGACCCCCACCACAGACTTTTTGAGATACAACTTCAACCTCTTTTCCACTGCCCACACATGGGAGATGGTCCAGGATCCTATTAGAAAGAAGGTCACTGGGGTGGGAGCAAGAAGGGCAGGATCAGAATCCTGGGGCTGTAGCAGCCTCAGTTGATTCTGATAAAACTCTAGGGGGTATGCCCTTCTCCCATTGAGAATAACTGCTTTAAGGTACCTGACTTAGTTTAATCAAACTCTTGAATTAAACAGTGATGTCAGAGTCATTAAGACCTAACCTTTAATTGGAATCCTACTCAAGTTCCAATGTGAGAGGTCCAACCAGGGTGCTATTGAACTGACTCTCAGACCTCTCCTCCTTTCCTCAATACTTCAGAAACACTCACAGTAACTGCATACTCTGGGGTGAATTCTCATCCCACACTATACCCCCTAGCCTGTCCCTCTGGGAAGATTGATCTTAACTACTTACCTTGAAATTGATTCATCTGTTGGGCGATATACGCACTCTGCTGTTCAAGGGTCATTGCCATAAGACCTGATTTCTGTTTCTCTTGCTAAACAGAAGACGAAAAAGACATGTTAGAATACGTCTACCAAGAAATATTTGCCTTGGAATCACTGTGCTGGGACCCAGGACTTGGCGTTGGTGTAGCAGAAAGCATGAGTGAACACACCAGCACACACTTGCATGCATGCCCCACCCTCACAAGTAAAATTCCACAGGTATAAATAAAAGTAGGATTCTGCAACCTGGGTTAAAAAGCCAACTGCGACAGCATAGGATGGGGCAGGAGACACAGAGGTTAACAGCAAGAGCGCATAGAAAAAGATTTAGGCATTTTGGATGTCCTTCTGCTCAGGATGGGTCAGCAATGAGATGCAGTCACCAAAAGAGCAAATGTAGCATTAAGTTGCATTAATAGAAGCAGAATATGTAGAAGGAAGGAGGTGACAGTCCTACACTACTCTGTCTTGGCCAGACCATGTCTATAGTGCTGACAAGAGTCTGGGCATGCCAGTATCAGGGAGAACCAAACAAACTGGCTGCATTCAGAGGACACTGATTGAGATAGGACTCAAATTCCAAATCACACAGATAAGAAATGGTTGAGCAAACCAGGGATGCCGAGGCTGGGCAGAGCTGATGCTGGGCTATGTGGTCGTGGGTACCCAGATTCTGCTGGGTTGTCATGGGGAAAGGGCTGAATATTGTTCTGGGTGGTTCTGGCAGGAAGAGCAGGATGATAACGTGGTCAGAAGGATGCACCCAGAGTGGTCACTCACTGTCAACTTCCCTTCTTTCTCCTGACTGGCTGCAGCATGAACAATTAGGATGAATTTCCTGTCTCCATTTCCAAGCTGGATGGGGCAAGGGGAGGAGCCAAGCTCGAGGCCTGTAGTCCTAGCACAGAATGTGGGAGCAGCTCAAGGGACAGTCCAAAGAGAACCAGATGAGAGCAAGTGGAAGGCATGACTCGCCCCGTTCACAGAGACTCTCAACCATTTGAAACCAGGTTATGACTGGGATCCAGTTCTGACTCCCAGCCCAGTGCTTATTCACTGCCATTCTAACCCCCCCCCCCCCCGCCCTTCTCAAGAAGCCTGCTCACAAGTGTGCCAATAACCAAGGCAGCTCCACCAGGGAGCACACCCCTCTGCATCCACTTTCTGAGCTGCATCCTCTTGGATGCCAGAAGACTTGACCCTACAACATGAGATGGCTTGCTTTTCTGCACTTAGAGGGTTGACTTTGGGGTGTGGGATGGGGCAGGCAGAAAACCAGCACTTGGAAGAGTGCTCGGCTCCCAGGCCTGGCGGCAGTTCCTGGCCTCAGTTCCTGCCAAAGCAGAGAGGACAAACACATGGCACTGGGAAGACTACACTAAAAGCGATTTCACCATCTTGGCCTTAGCCTGCTTCCTGTCTGCGCTCTTGTCCCCCCTCACCCCCCTTCCATAGCTGCTGGGATGTGGGTGGTGAAGATTCTGTTTCTCAGCCAGTCCATGGAGCTACCCTCTTACTGCTAAAGTATGAAGGTGGCATAACTGCCTTCGTGTGTGCTTACTGTACTGAACACGATACACCCATTATTTCACACTGTGTTTCAACAATCCTCTAAAGTAGGCATGTTATTATCCCAGAGATACTGATTTTGATACTGAGGAGTACAGGGGCCATATGACCTCCCAAGGCCATGTCATCAAGAGGGAGTGGGGGGCTAGTATCTGCTTCAAATGCTCAGGATAGGCAGGCATTTCTGAGGCAGCCCTTTCACTTGTATTCTTCCCTTTTACCCTTACACCAGCCTTAGTAGATAAGGGCAGAAGATCTATGGATCCCAGCTTACTCACATGACATCTAAGGCTCAGACAGAAAGCTTACATGACTTGCCCAAAGCAACATGGCTAGGCAGTGCCATGTCTCTTAACTGCAGACCCTGGGTTGCTCTGCCTGTCCAACCTTGCTGCTTCTGGGGACTAGGTTCTGTGGCTTGCTAGGTCTACACTGACCCTAACTTCTCCATTGGCTGGCCCATTGGTTTCATCAAATGACATAGTTGTACAGGGGTGGGGGTTGGGGGCAGACGGAGGCTACAGAGTGCAACCAAAGAAAAAGCAGGGGAAGAGCAGAAGAGCCCAAAAGGAAAGAGGCAGAGAAGAATGATACCTCAAAAGCATGGGAGAACAAGTCAGAGAGTGGAGGAACTGGGCAGTGTCTGCCAGATAAGAGAATGCTTCTCAAATAGTTCAGGGTTTCAGGGAGAAGGGTGGTGTTGGCTACTGTTCATCCAAGGAAGCACAAAACCCACAGCATCCAGAGTTGAAAGGAAAACCTGGCTATTGGAATTGTTACACATATTCCCAGTTCAAAGGGTACACTTGACATCCAGCCTATGGGTCAGGCCCTCTAGGGTCTTGGGGCACTGTTGTCAAATGGTGTCTCTTCATACTACTGGGGCTGTCCAGGGCACTCCCAGTCCTGTGCTCTGGGCCTGGGCATGTTGTCCCTGGCCCAGCAGCCAGAGCACTCTCCAGGCCTCCCTAGGAGGCTGCTTCCTTTGTTTTGCAGATGGAGGCCTCCATCCTTTGTTCTGAATCAATGTGCTCCAAAGATAAGCCCCAAGAAAACAGTTGTTGCCTTTTGACACTGACAATTAGAATCTTTGGAAAATGGAGAAAACAGGAAATGACAAATGTTTTCAGTAACCAGGAGGAAGGGGTAGCTGAAAATTGCTGTAACCTGTGGATTTTCATAAGCATGCTTATTGGAGGTCATCAAATATCTCATTTTTCAAAGGCTGTGATTGTCATGGTACTGAATCCTATTGTGCCAGGTGACACTAATAGGGCAGTGTTGGTGGGTCCTTTTCAAGCCTAGTTGTGTTTCCCCATGCTGGTCACATGGATGAGACTGGGCTGGTGCCAGCAGGAAGTCTCCCAGAGAACTAGGGCCCTGGATCTTCTGTGACAGATTCTCCCAGTTCTGCTGGGCTAAGGGGCCACATTTTAGCCAAAAGGGGGACCTGGGAAGTCACAGAGTTGCTTTTTTGGAAGCTTCTTTCTGATGCTCAGGAAGCTGTAAAGCCCTGGTCCATGTGTGGGCACTTTAGCAAGGCTAGTGCTTTATCTGTGTGCTAGTCAGGAGAGATTTCAAAAGACTGGCCCAAACCCTACTGCTACTCCCTGGTATAATTGAGTCCAACCCAGCCACAGCTCCTCTCCACTCCACACCACCTAACCCCTATGCTCCCACAGTTCAGGACAGGTGTTGTGTCAATTTTGCTTTTCAGTCATCACAAGTGAATGGCTCCTGAAAGCCCCATGGAATCGCCTTGGATGATTCTTAACATCACTGCCAGGGATGTTCTCGGGACTGACTCAACCACTTAATCCAGCAAAGCAATATGAGGGATGGAATGGGGAAGCTGATGAACAGGAATCACACACAGATGCCTACAAAAGGTTCCTGGATTTCAGCTGGAATTAGACTGGTTACTGGCCTAGTGATTTCCAGGAGGAGAGCATTCTGACTGGGAAGGGGATTACAATGGAATATCTTCTAGGGGACCTCAGATAATAGATCCAAAGCCTTATTGTGTACAGCACATTGATGCAGGGAAGGAGAGAGGGAGGAGGCAAGGGAAACCAAGGGTAAGGAGGGAAGAAAAGGAAGGGGGCTGAAACTGGTTTGGCTCAATGGATAGAGCATCGGCCTGCGGACTGAAAGGTCCCAGGTTCGATTCCGGTCAAGGGCACGTACCATGGTTGTGGGCACATCCCCAGTAGGGGTTGTGTAAGAGGCAGCTGATCGATGATTCTCTCTCATCGATGTTTCTAACTCTCTATCCCTCTCTCTTCCTCTCTGTAAAAAAAAATCAATAAAATGTATTAAAGAAAAGAAAAAGAAAAGGAAAGGGGGGAGAGAGAAAGAGGAAGATAATAAGGATAAGTAAAAGAAAGAGGAGGGGAAAAAGGAAGAGAAAGAGGAAATATTTTTTTTCTACCACAAGGAAACCCCAGACTCCTTTTCCAGGAAATGTAGCACATAAGCACTCCCTGCAGCAGAAGGCACTCAACTATGTGTTATAAGTTCAAAGGTTAATGATCTCTTGTTTCTGGGTTTGTTTGTTTATTACTCTACTAGGAAAACACCTTTTGCAGTTTTTGAAAATCAGATTTGGAGACACCTCACCTACTCTATTGACTTTTCATTTAAAATGACAGGACAACAGTATTCTGCATGGAGATCATGAAATCAAGACCTGAGCTCTGGGGGCTCCCACACTCTTATGAATGGGGACACATCAGACTTGCCATGGCCCATGGATGAAGGCAATGTAGACACTTGCATCAGAAGCCCTGCTTGAGGGTGTGTGGATACTTTTAGGTGAAAATTCTCTGTAGATGTTCTCCAGAAACTACAGACTTTCTATAGTGAATGGCAGGTGAAATTCTTTTCCTAGTCCCTCCTAACTCTCAGAGGTTGTGACTCATTTTCTCCAGAATACCTCTAGAGGAGGCCACACCATTGGGAATGATGTGTGTGCCATCAGGCCACTTCTCCTTATGAACCTCAGGCCTAGATCTTGAGGGGGGCTGCTGAGCACCTGCCCTTTTATGTTGCCTTTGATCAATGACCTTCCCTGTGCCAATGCAGCCTGCAAGGTGTGGGCCTCATTGATTCTGGTCCCCCAGAATGAGCCTGCCCAAATATCTAATGGGAAGAGAGGGTTTCATTGGAAGCCCAGCATGTCTGTCTGTCAGTCAGCTGACACTGACATACATTTCTTGTGGGTTTACTTTGGGTCAGGCTCTTTTCCAGGCATAAGGACAGCACTATGCTTCTCTACTTTTATGGAACTTACACTGGAGAGGATATAAGTCAACCAAAAGTAATTTCAGATGATTATATGTCTTCTAAAGGAAATACAATGTGTTAAGGGATCAGGAGTGGAAGGGGGTGTGGAGGGCACACCAGAAACCTCAGGTCAGGGCTTGGGGCCCTGAAGGTAAATCAGAATCTGCCACAAAATTCTCTAAGCTAGGCAAGACTTGGGTTAGCACTAGTCCACTGAGGGTCTTTCTTTGCTCCTCTGAGCTCCTTGCACAGGAGCCAGAGAACTTTTCCATGATGATGGTGCTGCCCTGGGGTTTGAACCAGTCTGAAGCTGTCATTGGGGCCTTCATACAACAATGGCATCAAAAGCAAATGGCAGAAATGTAGATCAGCTTTTTTACTCTCCATTTTTTGTCTTTCCACTTGACCTCCAACAGCATGAACTCTATTCTAACTCCTCTGTGGTCTCCTTGGTTGTTTCAGGACTGTGTAAGTCCTGGAAGGGCTTGGTCTAAATGCTGGGAATATCCCAGGGCAGAGGACACAAATGTCTTTTGCAGCTTGCCTTTCTTCTTTCCCAGTGGTGCTTGCCTCCTCTGTCTCACACTGAGTCTGACTTTCCTGAGTCACAGGCTGAGCTGGCAAGGTACTGTCCCTCAAAGCGCCCCCAGGTAGGCCCAACTACCAAAGCTTCATGAAGAAGATTAGGGGGCCAAGCATCTGTCCCACCCTTCACTGCTGGATAGAAGGCATTGACTTGCGTAGTCGTAAGTGGGGATGAGATAGGAATTCATGAGGCAAGCTAGCTGGAATCCTCTTGTTTTTGACTTCCAGGTACAGTCAAGCACAGTGACATCCTGAGTGGACGATGTACCCATCTGTTTTTGCCAATTCTGTTTCCCTGGCAGCTTGTGCTGGACAAGATCTCTCAGGTTTTAACTGAAGAGCACTGTGACTCGAAGAGTGCACAGAAAAAAAAAGGGGGGGGGGCGGGAGAGAAAAAATCAATATCCCTTGAACGAAAAGCACTGCTTGTTCTTCCCAGCCAGGGCAGGCAGATAAAGAGAACAAGGCTGTATGTAACAAAGCAGAATTTCCATTAAAGGCCAGAATCCCAGAGGCCCTTTCAGCCTGATGACCATCTTCTGATCGCTATCACTTAGCAATGCTCATTTCTCCAGTCTTCTCTGAAGTTAGGGAAGACATCCTGTGCACATTGATATTTCATGCACTAGAACAACAACTCCACGATCCAAATGAAATACTCTGCCAAGGCCCATTCTGGCTGGTGTCCTCCATCTTGTTTTCATGAGCACTAATGTGACTCTTTAGGGCAAGTCAAGCCATTCCTTCTGGACTCTGCAGGATGATCCAAACTCATAGCCATGTTGGACAGGCTTGGTTCGGATTCCTTCTGTCTGCCCTTCCGAGGCTGCCAGTACTCCAGTGGGGATATCCAACTTCTCAATTTTAATGTGTGAAAATCCTGGGTGGGGTTGAGGAACACCTCTGGGTGCAGAGTCCACAGCAGTTCAATGTCAGGAGAGGCAGTCCTGAGCACCCACTAGGTATGGAGTGGGTGGGCACTGAGGCCAATTCAAGGTGCAGAAGTGCAGCCCCTGTCTCCCTCAGGCTCACAGTGTGGCTGCAGGAACAGACAGGCAGGGAAGGAACTGGGATGCTGGAAGGTGAACAGCAGGGAGGGAGTAACTGCAATAGGGTAAGCCGCACTTATTTCCCTGGAGGTGATGCTGAGGCACCTGAAGCACTCGGCTTGCTTGGTTGTTCTCTCTGCCAAAGACTGGCCTGGACACAGTAGAGAAAGCATTAGAAATCCCTCCTAGGTGTACAGAGCTTTATGGGCTGTCACCTCCTGTGTTCCTCCCAACAACCCTGTGAGGCAGGCGGGCAGGCTGAGCAGGGAACTGCGCCCGGGTTGACAGATGAGGAAAGCGAGGCTCAGGGGAAGTGACTTACCTACAGCGTCGCAGCTAGGCAGTAGTGGAGCAGGCACCTGCCTCCAGGCCTTCGGATCCCAGCCGCCCCAGGGCGCTGCCTCTGAGGTGCTGTACGAGGAGGTGACTCGGGCCAGCTCATGAGCAAAGGAGCTGCTTGGCAGGAAGGACTCACTCCCCAGGGCCTGGCAGGATGGGGGCTGATGCCCGAGGCTGACCTGGGGGGGCCTGGCTTCCCCAAGCTTGCAGGCTTTGTCTATATGACTCTACAACAACCGATTGAACAATTCATCAGCTGCTTGGCCACAAAATGGGTTCTGACCGATCTTGTCATTTTCCTGACCGTTTAGTTGGGTCATTTGGGTATTGTTTATACACACCAACTGGTCTGGGGCAACAAAACCAAACAGATTTGCAGTTTTAATGGTCTTGGGTCACAGACTTCTTTGAGAATCAGTTAAAAGCTATGGTTTCTCTCCACAGAAAAAGCACTTACAGTGGTGTCTCCCCATTCCAACCAACCAACATTTTACATATAATTTCAGGGGTTTTCCGGACCACATAATATCCATCCGTGGATCTTAGTTAAGGATCCTCTGTCTTGACCAGTCACTGTCATGTTGGAAATGGGAGTAAAGCTAGGACATTTAAGCTGGTTCATTGGCAATGACCTCCACCAATCCCAATCCCTCCTTACACACCCTGGCCCCCACAGCAGAGAACACAGTTCTAAATTGGTTTGTAGGTATGTGTGTAGACATGTTGAGGAATCTGCAAAACCAAATGGTGAGTGCAAAACCAAACAGTCAAGTGGAAATCTCACAACAGTCCTCATTGCACTTCACCTTGCCAGGGCCCCAAAGTTTCAGGACTTGTGTATGGATGGGACCTTCTTTTTTCCATTATGTTTTAGAAGACAGGAATTTAATCAGAATTGAATCTAATTCTTTCAGCTAAAGGCAATTAAAAACTCCATACTTGATATCCATGTCAGAGAAAGCTTCAAGACTCAAATGAGCTACTGATATAGTCCTGACATCCTGACGAGCACACCAAGCACTTGGCAATAGTGGTGTCAAAAAACAAAACAAAAACAAAACAAAAAAAACAGGGGGAAGCCTGCATTAATGAATTCTTTTTGTGTGAGACAGTCTCTTCTCACCCAAGCTGCAACTGATCTGCGTCTCCTACCAAATATCCCAGTAGAAAGGGAAATATTTATTCCCCAAATCAAAGCTAACCAGTTGGAATCAATTTGATTCACTGCAATAAGCAGTAAGCATCATCTAATATGATCAAGTCTCTGCAATGATGACAGACCAGTAGATAGTTGGATGCATTGTTTGTTCAACAATAAAAAAATTTCCACCATGAAATTTACTGAGCACTTGCTATGAAACCAAATGCTTTCAGTATTCAGACTCATTCAACCTGTACATGAGGCAGGAACTATTATTGTCTTTATTTTACAGATGAGGACAATGAGGCCCAGAGAAGTTAACTGAGTTACACAAAGTCACACAGCTAGTTAGTAGCAGAGTAGGATGCGAACCCAGGTTTACCATGAAGTTTGCCATGGTGTGTGTGTGTGTGTGTGTGTGTGTGTGTGTGTGTGTAATCATTGACTTGCCATATGAAAACAAGTTTTGAGATGTAAATTGTTAAAATATGCCATTGTATGCAAGGTTTTACAAGGGGGAGGGGCACCAAAATGTTTTATCAAAAAAACACATTATAACTACTTAAAGATGGGAATAGAAGGACAATCTAATAACTGGAAAGTTTAAAAAATTATACCATCGCTCCAAAACAATACAAAATCAAAAAGCAACAAGCAATATTCTTAGCAATTAAACTCAATGCACTTGGGGAAGAAAACTTCTTTGCATTTGATGGTATACCAACTGTGAATGACCCAGTGCCTTTTCCTAAGGGGTGGGGTTCAGTACACAACTGAGCTCACTGGCCATCTCCAGCTTCACTGCATCAAGCTCTAATTTCTCCTTGTATCAAGGTCATCTGGGACATACGCAGAAACATTGCTTTCTACAATTTACAACTCTAGGCCTGCATATCTAGCTCCTTGAACATCTTAAACATGATTTTATAGCCATCTTGACATTTTTACAATCCTAAAATGCAAATATCACTAGAGTTTTGATTATTTGCTTATTCCATGATGACACATTTTAAAAGCAATGAATGGGGCTTATTTGTAACTTTTGCTTAGGAATCCCTGGTAGTTTCATGTGACTTGTAGGATATTAGTGATGGGTCAAGGAACAGGACTCCCCCATCAGCATTAACAAATGTGTGCAGCGCCTCAGTAGTTCACTAGGTAGAAATAACTGCAGATAGCACATGGGAATTACCAGCAACAAAAGATGCCCCCACAATGTGGGAAACTCCATTCAACAGCCATTGGGAAGGCCTGAAGCCACTCATTCATGTGGAGCAGAAGGGGAAGAGGTGGTTCAAAAACCAGTCCAATTCCAGTTAAAAAGAAACATGGAATAAAATAGATAAGATTCTATCTTGACTCTGACTGACTAGGAGCTTTATAGCTAATGCTTGTGCATATTCTCCATTCTATTTAATTTGGGAAAAAACCTGCTTATCAAACTCTCTTTAAATGTGAGGCCCACGTTTCAAAGAAAAGGCTATTAGGTACATTTCTACTCCTAGAGAATTTCAAATATAAGATGCACCCATCTTTCTCCTTGAAAATCTAAAATAAACAAAAACAAAAAAACAAGTCCGTTGGTAATTGGTGACCATGATTTATAGCTCTTGGACTGACTGGTTCCATGTAATTCCAAATTTCATAGACTTCAGATCATGGAATGGGTAGTGTTTGACAGTGATGATTGATTTAAAAAAATCTCACACCCACTCACCACCCTGGACCCTAGGTTTCCCATGATTACTAAAGAGCTTGCTGAACCTAAGTTGGTCCACGTCTCCTCCCTCCTAAAAGTCCTCCAATGGCTTGCAGACACAAGCACATCCTGTTAAGCTCTGCCCCTTGACTTCTCACCCTTTTGGCAGTCAGGTTTCATGTTCCGTAGTGTCATGTACTCTATCTTCCAGTCATACTAATTTCTTTGGAGCTTTCCAGATAGCCATGTCTATTCAGCCCTCTGTGGTTATGCGCCTTGATTCACCCAGCCTGCAATGTCCTTTCTCCAAGTTTCCACTCTGGGAATTTTGCATATCCTTTAAGATCCAGCTTCTCTACCCTGGAATTCTGCTTTTTTTTTTTTTTTTTGGTTTAGTTCCTGTGGCTGAACACCTCCAGCTGACTGAACACCCTTGCTGGGTCAAGTCTTAATCATCTTGATATCTCTCTGATGCCCAGACAGTGCCTGGCACAGGCAATGGGCTTAGCAAATACTGGTGTGGGGAAAAGTAGGTTTACAGTTGTGAGTACTCAAAACACAGAGTTTATTCTTGTATTATTATCTACAAGTTATTGTATTATTTGTATTACAGCTGTAAATCTACTTTTTGCCCACCCTTGTATTTAGAAAATTCAATCAACTTTACTGTATGAGTTTAGCATAATGTCCAAGGCACTTGGGAGATGATAATTTGGTGAACACTGCATTGGCCTCTTTTTGGGTTGGATATTAATGATAAACTGAGCCTTGATCCTCATTTACACACATCTACTCACCCCTTTTCAATGTGATGTTAATAAAACCCAATGATAGATCAGAGAATGAAAATAAAATCAGCTAAATATTTTTGAGCACTCACTGTGTGCTGGGTACTGAACTTTGTACACATAAGCATTTGATACTGTTTCTAGTTTACAAGACAAGGAAGTGGAGGTAGGCTTACACAGGACACGCAGTGGCAAGGTGGGGTACAGACCTAGATATGATTTATAGAGTGACTAAAACTCAAGCAACTCCTGGGTTTGGATGTGCAAAGGCTCCTTTTCTGCACATGGAGAGGAATGGTGAGGTATCTTCCTTCATTCACACAGGAGTAGCTCCAACTCGTTGGCTATTCTATGGCATCACCATATTCAAATGGGCTATGGTGCAAGAAGCTAGGATTATGACTAACCCCAATAGATATTCAACTATTTGGCAAGAAGTGGATGAAAACTGCTCATATTTTATAAATTATTGACTAGATTAGATATTGGCCCAATATTCTCCACCATGGAAATTCAGAAGGAGATAGGTGTGCATTGGCAAGGCTATAGTAATAAACTATGATTGCACTGGCTTCTGGGAGCTTGTAGATTTCTAGACTTAGTCATTCAAGAGTTCAGACAATGAATCCTGTACTGCTCTTTTCCCTTTCTCTAGACTTTACTAAATGTGTAATAGAGGTGAGCAGAGAAAGCCCAAGAGAGGGAACTGGAGATTTGGCGCATATGCCAGAGACTATCAGAGACTAAGGTTCTTCAAGGCTGGTCTGATTTCAGAGTTCAGTCCAGCCATTCAAATCACTAGTGAGGTAAACATGGTAGGGTATTAAAATGTTACCTAGATAGCCCCAAAGGGTCAAGACAGAGCTGTGGAAGAAGCTGGATCTTTGGGCAAAATGTCTCTACCTGTCAAACAGAGGTAATAGAAGACAATTTTGTAAGTCTGAAGCAATGCCTTGGGAAATCAGGAAAAATTAATGTGAATCAGACTACTTGGCCTTTTGCTTACCATTACTTTACTTGGGCAAGTGCAAATGGGATTTCAATATATTACAACCATGTGTCTATTAACAACAATATGAGAAAGCTATACAACTCAAGTCTGAGATTTTGTAAGGAATAGAATCTCAGAAGTTCTATAAGTAATACAGTCCAGCAAACTTTCTGAGACAATGTTGAATCATCCCACTAGAAAGAACGGAATGTTCTATACCTGCATTTTCTGATATGGTAGTCACTGCCCATACGTGGCAGTTGAGAACTTGAAATGTGGCTATTGCAAATGAAGAACCAAATTCTTTTATTTACATTAAATTAATTTAAATATAAATACCTACATGTGATGGGAGGAGGAGTGAGAGGCTGGGTAAAAAAGGTGAAGGGAGTGAGCAGTACAATTTATAGTTATAAAAGTCATGGGAATATAGCATATGGAATATAGTCAATAATATTGTAATAATTACAGGTGGATAATTATCAGGTGGATACTTGACTTATGGGTGAGATCACTTCGTAAAATATATAAATGTTAATCGCTATGCTATGCACCTGAAGCTAATATAAAATAATATTAAATGTCCACTGTAATTGAAAAAATGCTGT